CGATACGTTGTTTTATATTTGTTAGTCTGACAAAATTTTGTAGGAGTACATGCTCGTAAGCAATGATTATATTAGGAAGCATATTATTAACTGGACTACGCAGATAACTTAATCATTTTCTAGAGCATTTGCCGGGTTGAGAAGGCTTTTTCATAAGTTGCTGCGGCATGTTTACTTTGATGTTGGAGTTAAACGCATAAAAATCAGCACCAGGTCCCACATCATGAATCGTAGGTTCGTAAAGTCGGGGCCGTCAAAGATAAGTAGGCAACACGTACTAATATTCGGGTTGCTATCTAAAATATTTGTGAAATACCAACCGCTTTCCTATTTTTGGAACGTCAGAGGACAGATGGTCAAACTGAAAGGTTGTGCAGCTTCGTCAACGCAGTGATAGAGATGAATTGAAACCGACCGGATGTGACGCAACTAGGAGGCGTTCAGCAATAGCCTAAACCTCACAACTTCTATTAGATCAAGTCCTTGTAAAACGCCCTGTTTTGCAGGAACGTCAGGCTTCTGTTAAAACCATAACCGACAGCCTTAAGAAGTTACAGAGAACGGACCTAGCGGCTTATAACCATCGGACTTTAACTGACTAAATAGTAAGTAGTCGCCTATAATTATGTAAACTACTCTTGAAATGTTCGGCTGTACCGATGCATTTCTTCATTACTGTGTACCAATAGGGAGTTAAAAGTCGTCTGCATATACTTCCCATAATAAACTTGACTTCACTTGACTAGATGATGGCGGGCGTTTATGGCAAGGACTGGAAAAGTCTTTTATCTACGCTACCCTCCCCCCTCCCCAATCTGTAAAAACATGCTGAAAGATTCATTCGGTGACCTCGAAAACAGCATCCCACACATTAATAAGTACAAAAGAAGATAGTGTATCATTCGCACGCTACTAGATTCTCGAAAGTTCCACACACCTAACGAGATGCCTCAGAAGTATTCTGCGATGGTTGTGCGAACTAACGAAATACCACAACTAGTTCCCGCAGTGATAAGTGAGTTGTACAGTTCCAGAGAATTAGCCTCCGAGGGTCTCTATTGGGATTATATTTGCTCTGCCGAAATCTTCTGCACACTTTTGAAGTCAACAAGTTTTTTGCAGAGAAATGGATAAGGTGAACTTTGTTTTACAGGTCTGCAGTACAGCTCCGAGCGACTTGCCGTTTTTAATGTTCCGGGGTACTAAGACGAGACTCAGGCGACACCATTGTGACGTGCAAGTGTAAGCATCCACGCAGCTGTAGGGCTGTGTGATTTGAAACAGAGCGGCCTACCTCCGCTTGCCGTACAAAACTAAAATTCTGAATTGTTTTGGCACCAGTTCACAACAATGCGAACGCTTGATCCAACTTTACCTACATGGAATTATATTTCAAGATAACGTCTGTGTGGACCGGATTTTCTGTCACTTTCGAGGAGGAAGCAGCTTCCCCCACTATAACTTTAACAATATTTTAAGACGCAGTACCGATGTTTGAAAACGTTGAGACGTTGGCGATTGCCAATTCACAAAAGTATGGGAGTGAGACTATGCGGACCAATTCGAAGTCCAAAAACGGCCCTGCTGTCGAATACAAACGAAATAAGCGGATTAATTTCCATTGACTCAGGGATTAACTTTCTTCTACTTCCACGGTCGAAGAACACTAACCGGTCAGGTTACGAGATGTGCTCGTCCGGCTGCGCTTTGGAGCTCAATTTAAAACCCTCGCAGGCGGTCACACAGCAGCCAGAAACAGATGACTGGTGGTAACAAAGTACCCTGCCCCTTCTTGCAATACTCGGTCTGCTTTACAACTCTAAACAAGAACTTAGAATTTCACTAGCATTCCATATATTGCGGATGTCTTAAGCCACGGTGAAATGGACGTGGTGGCCGATATAACTTTGGTAGTGGTTAGTTCTTACAAAATTCTGAAAAAAACGCAATATTCCACAAATAAAAATGGACGTTTTCTCAGATAAATATCAGTGAGGACAGGCACACAGATGTCCCGAAGTACTCTTTTAGCGAGGTGCACACTTCGTAACGGTTACTCTATATGGAATTGGAAAATGCGTTACACATTAACACTGCATATCTTCGCATCCCGAAGTTCGCGGATATTATAGTGAGACTTTCATTTAACCTTCACGAACCTTATACACCAAAAGTTTGGTTATTGCACGCGCATAGGTGGCCGGGACTTGGTGGAGCCCGACGAATAAGAAGACTGAGCATTTCCAGTTCACCAGCGACAACTGCGTTCAATGCGTATAACATCAAAAAGAACATATGTTTCCAATAGAATTGAATATGCGAGTAGTCTGCGCACGTCTCAGAATTTTCTACGATTACCTATGATTAAGGAGTCTCGGCGGAATCCGAAACGTCAGGACGATGAAACTCTTGTTCCAGTGATCGCTTCTTCTTCAGAACATATGTTTCAAACGCTTTCAAATGTTACACGGCAATAGAGGAGAAACGCTGTGAAGATTTCGAACGGGTCTGTAGCTGACTCGTTGGAAGTCTCCTGCGACTGAATTGCAGTGCAACAAACAGAAGATACCCGACCAATAGGCAGTCAGATTATGTTGCCATAGTACACAATTCGTCGTTCGTAATAAATTCGAAGTGATAGGAGTATGTCATAATGGCTTAAACCTTTACTAACAATACGAAGGGTC